TTAATAGAAGCTGTTTTATGCATACAGCTGAAACTTCTATGAGGTTTTTAGATTTCCTGTATGTACGTAATTAGTTTTAGAGAAATGTGATATGCCGAATTCTTGTTAATAATCCAATATAATAGAACTTAAATTTTTCACTAACAGGTTTTAACTTGACGGCACTCAAATCAAAATTATATGCGAATACCCAATTAATTAATTCACACAACAACTTAAATTGTTAAAACCTTTAATTAAATATGTATAATAATTTTAAAAAAAACTAATTTAGCCAAACTGTAACTATACTAATAAAAAACATTTTGGCTAAAATACTTTTTCAATTGAATTACTAGCACTAGTTAATTATTTTCGAAAAAACTAATTTGAGTTGTCAAGATATGCTGTCCTGTATATGGATGGTAAAAAAAACAAGTTAGATTATTTTTTCACCTGTTTAAAACATATGATAATTAAAATCTGAATACTGATTTAAATAATGCTCACCTGTTTTTTAATTTATCTTCACCTGTTTTTAATTACGTAATAAAAAACATTTGTCATCCCTAGTTCTATATTGTATTATGCTAAGGTTCTAGTTAATTAAGACATCCGCTACTCATCATTAGAATAATATCACTGGCTGCAGGTCCAAAATTCTGTTTAGTAAAAACATCGCCAGAAAAAAAATCAGGGGGCATCATGTTAGCCAAAAATTTTTGGTACTGAGCGATTACTATTGGGAATATTAAAATATTATGATGTACATTTATTTGATATGGACCATCGTTATTCTATAAAGTTTGTGCAAAGATAAAAAAATTCATAAAAAAATTAGATAAATAATAATATGACACCTCAGTTAAGGTTTGGGGTTAATATTAATAGCAATATTATATTATAATTTTGCAAGGAATTTTTTTTGTTAATGCCTAAAAGGTGACTTCTTAGGCGAAATTTGAATAAATGTGACTTCAAAAAAAAACCGATTGTTGTTTGATCTTTACATTACATATTTTGTGAAATTAAAACTTGATATATTAAAATTCTGAATTTATTAATTGCAAGATACATGTTGTCAGCGACTAGAAAATTAAAATCTAGTTGATATGTGGTAGTGCTACATTTAACTTTATGATACATTTAACCTTATATTTTTAAGGGACATAATGATAAAATAATTAAGTAGATTTAATTCTTACCTTACACAATACGCAAAATCACGCTGATTCAATAACTACATAGCATTTAGGCCACTTGTGAGATTCGGCCATATTCTCATTACCAGATTTGTTGTCATCGTCATCAGATTCGTCACCTTCATCAGATTCGTTGCCTTCATTACTGTTATTATCTCTATTAGATTCATCATCTGAATTCTCATCATCATCATCATCATAAATCAAATGATTCTCACTTCTAGACAAACAATTAGAAATACCACACTTCTTGAATGCCCAGCTTCAAGTTTTCCTTCTTAGTAACACTATTGCTGCCATTTGTCATCCATCTATGCCAATACTTACGAAGTTTATTCTTAAATAGCTTGTTGATACAGATATCATGAGGTTAACACATACTTGTAAGACCCCCGGGAATAACAGCCAAGTCAGTATTTCCTGAGCACAACTCACCTTTAGCTTAATCTGTGATATGTGCTGAAAAAGAATCAAAAACATGCATTGTTCTTGAATTACGTGATTCTAGTCACATATTATTCTAATACATTGTCTATTTACTTATTCCTAACTTATCCATCCATCCTTTTTCTTGGAACCAAACTACTACACTAGCTGGAGGTGGTGGGGTGGTACTGGGCCAAGTCTTTCCTTTAAAGATAATAATAGGGGGGGAGCTTCCTACTGTCTGCAAAACATGTCAAGACAACGGTGAATCTATTTTTATCGTTTCTAGTTGTTCAACATAGACTGTTTTTGCACCCTTTGAATTCACAGTTAAGCCACCTACTATATCGAACCAAACTGGAGTCTCATCCATGTTTGCAATCATTTCAAGGGGGTAATCATTCTTTTGGCGAAGGCAGATAACAAACCACTGAAAATCAAGTAACTTATCCTCAAGATCCTCTGGTAACTTATGCGCAATTTTAGTCTTACATCGAAGCGAAAGATCGTAACATTTTAAAAAACGGTTTAACCAGCGTGGTGAAAGCTTGAAATTATTAATTGCAAGCTTTTTAGTTACATCATTTGTTTGTTTAGCACTCTTATCCAAGATTTCAGCCATTTTAAATCTTATATTAGCATAGGTGACCGCAAGACCATTCTGTCAGGTTACTATTAGCTACTCATAAAGTTGAGCCTCCTCCTCAGGAAAAAGTACATGACGTCCAGAGCCAATGCTTCGTAAGTTATTTTGAGGAAAAAGGCCTTAAGAAAAAGTTTTAACCCAACGTCCAAGCATGGTCAAATCCAGAGAATAGTATTGGGCTGCATGTAAGTTTGAAGTGTGACAGGCCAAATCTACAGCTTTACATTTTTCCTCAACTGTGTAAGAGTTTCTCTGCCTTTTCATAATTTGGACCAGGTTTGTTTATACTGTATAAAGGAAAAAAAAAAAAAAAACTCTACAGATTTTTTTAAAGCTGGGTTTAAGAGATATATGTATATAGTTTATCTGCTTGTAAGGTTTTTTTTTTTTTTTCTATTGATGTATTTGTAGGTTTCTTTTAAATAGCTTAGGCGAATGTTTTTAAGTGGGTGGTAATTTCTCTAAAGCTATGTTAGGGTGAGTAGGTTTTTTTTACTGGAAAGTAACTTTTAGAAAATACTAGTAGGCAGGTAAAATTTTTTTTAAAGTGATAGTTTGCTTAAACTCTATTATGCAACTATTTTTTTAAAATTTGGGGCGGGTAAGTTGTCTAAGTTATGAGAACAAGCCTTTTCTAGTAATTGGGGCCTTTCGATCTTATTCAAATTTTTTTTTTTTTTTTAAAAAAAAAAAAAAAAAAGATAGAGTTTTTCGATCTTATTTATAATACGGACACCACCATGATACTGTAATAATAAATTTAAATTTGTACGTACGTATGTACGTAGTCACAAATCGCTACCTTGAGGTTTTCTGTTCCATGAGGTTTTTGTTTAGAAAATCTTGGTTGGGAGTTGTTTTTAGAAACACTACAAGCTTTTGTACTTTGCCGGTATCGTTATATATGTATGTATATAGGTATATATGCATGTATGTATGTACTAGGGCTCCTCATTTTCTGCAGCAACTGCTCCCAAAATCCGTATGTGCTACCTGTTTATTTATGCAAGAAATTTTTTAAAATATGCGAATTAGATAGAAACGTACGTATGTAGATATCAAGAATCTGAAACATGAAATTTAGTTCTTTATTTATGAGAAAAATTACAATACAATAGCGTGAAACCTGCAATAGATTCTAGCTAAATCTACTACAAAAATCACGTAATAGTAAAAATCCACATTAACATGATGCACTAGCCCTAGTATGTACATTGTGTTTATATCTCTATTATGTGCAACGATAAATATTAAACAATAAACCTGAATTTGTCATAGTAAGATTTTTTTTAAGCGATAATACCCTATAATAGCTACCCCTATGTTTGAGTATAAATTCCTTGAAAATCATAGATCCCGAAAATAAGCTACTTATTGATTTTTGTGTTCAAAATTGTTTAAAAAAGGGTAGCTTATTTTCGGAAACATACGGTAATTCTTGTAAGCAAATTTGTATTTTTTAGAAACCCCTTGTAGAATCTTATATAAATTTTAATAAAGATAAAGGCAAAACCTCACTTTAATATTAAAAAAAAAAAAAAAGCATTAGCATTAGATTTTAAGATAATATTTTTGTTTTAAAATATCTTCTTTTAATAATACTGATGAAAAGGAATCTATTTCAGCCCTTAGTTCTGAAATAGTTAGTAGTAACAAACAACAAAAGATATCTGGTCAACCTTTTAATCCTGTTTAGAATCATTTTAATCAAATAGAAAAAAAAAGGTGAACATTATTCAGCAAGTTATAAGTACTGTAAAAAAAAGTGGCCATGTGGAGATATATCAACTTTTAAAATACATATCGCATATGATTATTTCAGTGCTCTATTAGAGATACAACTTTTTTATTTCAAGCAATTTATTGATAATGAAAGTCAAAAACTGAATAAAAAATGAAAAGTAGATTTAAGAAATAAAGAAGATATTTTTAAATATGTAGAAAATCAAGAACTACCTTTAAAAAGACAGGAGCAACTGGAAAATAGTATATGTCTTATATTTATTTGTGCAGAAATTTCATGTAATGTTGCTGAAATAAAATTTTTTATGCATGGCTTCAAGATCTTAAGCCAGATTTTCAAATACCAAATTTTAAAACACTCTCAGATAAATTTTTAATAAGCAAGTTATTTAGGTAGAAACAAAAGTAGAAAATAAATTATGAACTAAAAATCATATTATACTCAATAAATATTGAAGTTTATTATTCAATATCACAGATTATACTGAAATTTATCTTTTTTGAAAATATAAATGCTATTAAAATTTACTATAATCTAAAATAAAATAAAATAAATTAAACAAAAAAAAAAACTAAACTAAATAAAAAGAAAAAATCACAGAATTTCATAGTTACAAATTTTAATATAATTAGCAACATTTTATAATCTAATAATTTTTCTTATTATTTTTTTATAACCCTTGATAGCTGAACAAATCTACGAGACTGGTCAATTTAGAATTTTTTACTTTTAATACCTGATCAAAAAGAATTCTTATATGCTTTGTATAATTATTCTGATTCAAGCCATACAGCAGAATTTCTTATACAAGAAATCAAAACAATTATTACTCAAATTGGAATAGATAAAATTTGCATAGTAGTTAGTGATAGTAGTGCAAATATTGCTGCAGCAAGATGATTAATTATACAAAAATTTCCTCATATAATGAATGTATCATGTATAGCTCATCATTTAAATCTTATTTGCAAAGATATTATTAAAGAATCTTTTGCAAAACATATTTTATCTCAAGCAATATTAGTTACTAAATTTTTTAGATCATCTCATGTAGCTAATGCAGCACTTGAAAAGGAAATTCAAGTTAATAATATTGTTAGTGGAAGTATCAAACAATATATAGTAACTCGTTAGTCAAGTTATTATAATACAATTTATTTAATTTTACGTTTAAAAGTTATATTTATTAGAGTAAGCTAATTTATATTTATATTACAAATGAGTACTATAGAATGAAAATCTAGAAGTGAATCTTTAATCTTATCACTGAAGTAAACTTTGTTTTATATTATATAATATAAAATAAAGTCTGCTACAGTGATAAGCTTAAAGATTTACTTACAAGTTTTTATTCTATAATACTTACAATTACAACTTACTTCATTATAGTTTATTTTCAAATATTGTAAAGATTAATCAAATTTTTATATATTATTAAGATTTTAGAACATAATCTAGATATTATTTCAAATAATGAAGTATATATAATTTTAAATTGAGGCTTATTTTATGCTGATTTATATTTTATAACTACTATTTTATAGCCTATTAAAAAATCTATTGTTTAAGTCGAGATTCAATACTAGCAGATTGTTATGTTTATTTGATTAAACTAGCAGCTACAATTTATTGAATACCTTAAGACCAATATGTTACTTTTTGAAAATATTATATTATATCTATTAATAAGCAGCTTTCAGAATTTAATAATAATATATATCAATTGGCATACTTTTTACACCCATAGTATAAAGGTAAATTATATTTCTTTATTTATTTTAAAAATATTATATTTTTAAATAAATTAATATCTTAGGCTACAGTTTTAGAAGAGGTCAATATAAAAAAATTGTAACATATACAAGTACTTTATAGAAAGCTTTTGGTAATGGTGAAAGTTCTTGTTGGCAATTTATAGAGCAACTTGCTTCCTATAAAAAAAATGAATTACCTTTTAATGATCTATTTGAACTTAATTACCAAATACTTCAAATATAGTAGAAAATACTTGATAATATTTATAATTATCTTCCTAATTTAGCAATTAAACTTCTTACTATTACTTCATATTCAGCTTCTTGTGAGAGAGTTTTTTCAACTCTGTGATAGTTTTATTGAAAAAAAGAACTAGATTAGTATTAGAAAAGTAGAATCAATAGCAAAAATTTATTGATATTATACAATACATGCTAAAGAGAAAATTTCTTATATAAATTATGAGCTTACTTTAGAAGATATACTAACTATAATATATGAATTTGAAAAGTCTGATGAAGAAGATAATATAGACAAAGATTATGTTGAGAATAATGAAGCAGAATTCAAATTATTTGATAAGGTTTTGAATTTGGAAGAAAGTTTCAATTTAAATTATGATATTTTTGGAGAAATAAGTGAAAATAATATTATTAGAATAGATAATGAAAATCTAGTTAAAGAACAACCAAACTATGATTACAATGTAAATAGTTTAGTTGATGAAATTTTACTTGATTAAAGTTAGATTGGATAAAGATAATGTATTATATATATTATCTTAAATAAACTACTAAATAATATACTGCTTCTAATTAGTAAAGATAAAAAACTCTTTCTGATGATTACTGAAAAACAAAAAATCAGAAGAAAGAAAAACAACAACTGCTCATATACTATTTCTATTAACTAAATAACTAACTAATATTTTAGATATAACAAATTACAAAGCTTTATACCAATACAATACTGTCTAATAAAATCTAAACCAACAACTCTATCAAAAGAAAAAGTCCTTACAATGATACAAGCCTGTTCTTTAAGGACTGGGCAAAACCTAACTATATAAAGAAACTATCTAAAATTTCTAACCAACCTGCATATATTTTATTGACAGATAATAAAGTGTGATAGAAAATACTAACAACAACCAAAACAACTACTCTAAAAAATGACGCTTTGAAAACTCAACTTCTCGAAATACATCTCAAACAACAAAAAGTAAGCAAAATAGTTTACCCCTTCCAAAACACAAAAACGCGTCACATGCATATAGTATAACAACAACAACAACTGAAAATAGTCATTACAACACAAATACAATAGCCAAAAGAAATCACAACATGATCAACAACCCAAACAGGCAACTAGGAATAGATGATCAACAAACCTCCTTACAACAAACTTAGCTATATGCAGAATATCTAACTAGCTTCTACAGAAACAATACTAACAACATGATAACTGAAGAACTCACAACCAACAACTACGATACCAATACTCAACTACCAAAACAACTACAACTCTCTTATGCAAGGTACTCAAACAAAACACCAATTTAGATATGATGATTTTTGAAGAAGAAATAAGAGAAGACTTTGAATCAAACTAGACCTTACAAATATCAACCAAAAGAGAAAACAAAATCCAAACCCCCTTTGATGAAAAGATCTGGACAAAAGACAAAATCATCAATACACTCACTAATCTTACAGACCTCTCTAAATTTCTTTTATACAAACTAAATACAGTACCTACAAACCATAATATCTCTAAAGCAATTCTACTTAAATTTACTACAGAGATTCAGCATTCTTTAAAACCTTTACAAACAAGAAAAATTTTATATCTGCACACCAAATTGAATTCAATAACTTGCTTCAAAATGCAATCAAATCCTTAAATCCAAAAACAATGTTATACTCACTGACAAAGAAACTCGAAACCAAATACAAACCAAACTCTAACAGAAATTTACAACTGACTACCTATCAAATCTTAACTTTAGACCTCTTAATCTGCACCAAACATTCCAAATACTCAAGTATTGCAGGAATTTTATCAAGGCAACCTCTCTTGAAAACCCAAAAACCATACTCGATATAATCTACTAATTCTATATTTCTCTTCGCAAGATTCTACCTGAAAAACCAGAATTAATTGACAAAGAAATTCTTGAAATACTTCCCTTTAAACTATCTATAGTAAAGAGATCACAAACTAAAGCAATTACTAATATCTTATACACTATCTTCAACTTCGATACTCTACCTGAAACATACTTTATTACTTTACCTCAAGTACCAGATAACCCTACACAACTCAAAGAAGAACTCAAGAAGTTTTTTCCTATAACTAATCCTAGAGCATTTAAATATCTTGCTTACTACCAAAACAAATTAGCTGACCACTATAGCTTAACAAAAATTCTATCAACATACTTTGACCTACCTCAACCAAAAGAACCTCTACCTTTGACCTACCACTAACTAAATAGTAGAGTCAGATACCTATTTCTAATTAATTCAAACTATTACGAATTTACTTTACAACAAGTAGTAGAATTGCTACGTAACTATTACACTTTCAAAAGAATACCTAATGATTTTTTTAAACAGAAGCCAAAATTACCATCAGACCCAAAAAAGATTAATACTATCTCTCAATATACCTACTCAATCTCAGATAACAGTATAGCAAAAGACTTCTTACAAGAAGTTTTACACAAATATAAAGTCAGATTCCTAATCCACACTAACATAATAATAGCTAATCCTATAGATAAACCTAGATTACTAAACAACCCAAAAGATATTTTAGATTTCAACCTAACACTTCCAATTTCAACTCTTCAACAACTCACACACACTGCAAGACTACTTTATATACAATACTACTTCAATAAAATACTAGATCTTTGGATAAAAATTAAACAGAACAACACTCAACTAAGTCCAACTACAGATACAAATACAAATGATATTAACAAAAAACTAACTATCTCTACAACCCTTGTAGAACTTCAAGAAAAACTTGAACTTATTCAAGACAATATTCTTGTTATACTCCCTATTACACAACAACAAGATATAACACCTATACTATTAACTCTCAAACAATATTTTGACATCGTCAAAATACCAACATACCTTCTACAACTCCCACTACTACCAGTACCTACTTAGAATATCTTTAATTAATCAACATAAATTACAACTAACAAGATAACATAAATTCTAACATACCTACACCTATACCACAACTAAACTAACACCAAATTAACTCACTTAATTATATCAATATCACTATACATAATATCTAAGAACTTAACAACCCTCTCAAACTCCAATTATTTTTAGAGTTCTGTAATAACAACAGCTACTATCTAATTAGCATAACCAAAACAAAAATTGCAGAATCTCACAACAGTCATTACCAATTATCTAACCCCTATTACCAAATTTATACATCTAACTGTAATCTAGAAATAGCTAAGAAACAAGAATCAAGTATGGGTACAGCAATAGCAGTCTACAATCTACTACAACTATATATCCACAATATTCAAACAGAAGCAGGAACAGCAATTAGTATTGACTTCTTCTTTCTCCAAAATCACAAACTCCGAATCATATAAATATATCTCCCTTCAAACAATAACAAGCTCAAAGACCTTGCTCAACATACTATTACAACTTGGACTAACTATGCAACATAACATGACTATTCTATTATTATACTAGGAGACTTCAATTCAGATTTACAAAAATATATGATAAAATCTAAGCTACCACTATTCAACATACTACAAACTACTGGGATGACAAGCTTGCTATGATACTTTGATATAACATTACCAACTTGGTCTAGACCCCCTCTCTATAGCTAAATTGATGATATATAGATATTCACATCACTTCTATCATCAATAACCAAACCAAAACTAATTGATACAGAACTCATCATGAATAGCGATCATAAGATAATCTATACAAAATAGTTTACTAGTATTTAGATCAAGCAATATAAATACAAAAAAAAGAAAAAATTAGTCTTCCAATACAACAAGATGACAACAGACATATGGACTGACTTCAAAAATAGTATATTAATATTTCTAAAAGCTCTTACAAACAAACAACCTACAACTATCGAATCAGTACAAGAACTCAATAAATGGTAGTACATATTAAATCAGGAAATTAAACAGGTAGCAAATCAATACATACTGCAAGCTAAAATTGCATCTAAAACTTACTATGCATTCTCTAAGAAAGCTACTAAACTACATGCAGCATTATAGAAAATCAACATGACTATACAGTTACTCAAAAATAATCTAAATCTGAATTCAAATTCAATTACTACAGTCAATTCTAATATTACTAACATAAATAAGCTAGCAAATTTAGATATTCTACAGTTGACTGAAATACTAAGATCAACTACCTCAATACAAGATTATATTATATCTCTTAAACAATATCAAAAAATGATATATCATGCATGAAAACTTGAAAACAACCTTGCATACAAAAATAATATTGATAAATACATAACCAACTGCTATAACAACTTCATGGCCAATACTACATTAATAATTAGTAGTATTCTACAAAGACATACTAATCTAGTAATTTTACACAACATAATATACTCTAACTATATTATTACAGAACCCTCAGAAATTAAAAGAGAAATTAAACAATACTTTGAAAGCTGGACCAAACCTAACCCTACAAACAATGACTACTAGGACGATTAGCAAAGTGAATATCTACTACAACCTAATATTAATTCACAATGGTACAAAGAATTATTACATCCAATCTCAATACAAGAACTACAAGATACTATACAGGAGTCTCCAACAGGTAAAGCAACTGGTCCTCAACTTATATCGAACGAAATACTCAAACATCTTGACAAATATATAATAGACAAACTACTAGATATCTTCAATACATGCATAATATTAGAAAAGATTCCAAAAATGTAGAAACAAAGCTCTATATATCTGATATCTAAAAAACAAAAATTTTCTGGCCAACTAAATGAAACTAGGCCTATTTCTCTTATAGAACATACAAGGAAAATCTTTACTAAACTTCTTACAAAAAGATTAAACTCTATCCTAAACAGATATCCTATTCTCCACCCAAGCAACCATGTAGCTATCCCTAATACCTCAACTACACTACCTATAACTACAACAATGAATATTATTGAAGATACTCAAGTCTTAAACAAAGAACTTTGGTTACTTAGCTAAGACATGTCTAAAGCATATGACTCTGTTCATATCCCCTTACTCAAAAAAGTACTTAATCATCTCAAAATTCCTAACTCTATTACTAATCTAATAACTGATATCTTCTCAAACTGATCAAATACAGTTATCACATATTTGGGTCTAACAAAATCTTATACAGTATATGATAGAATAAACCAAGGAAAGATGATTACTTCTCTCCTATAGCGAATATACTACGATCCTCTGTTATCAACAATCTACAAAACTACTACAGAATACATAATGCAAACAACATTCACATATTAAAACACCCTAAAAAAGATTCAAACAAATATCCCTGCATTTGCATATATAGACGATACTTTATAGATCATCTGTACTCAAGAGGAACTATAAAAAATCCTTAAAACTACAATATCATTTTTTCATTTCATCAACATCAAAGTTAACTTAAGCAAATCTATACTTTCAGTTACTAACTTATGCAATACTAACTCTAGTATTTCATTTAATAACACTCTTATATATGTAGTTCAACCTAAAGAAGCCTTTCATATTCTAGGTTGTTAGTATACAATATATAAAAACCACAAATCTATTTATACCAAAATTAAGGAAGAAGCAATACAAGCAATCAAAAGAATTACACAAGCATGAATTACTGATAAACAGGCTATCTATATCACTAATACAGTAATACTAACTCAGATAGCATATAGAATTCAAAACACATATCTCCTATCAGCTATTTGCAAGAAACTCACAAAGCAATATACTGAGACCATTAAGCATAAGGCTAGCTTTGCAAGAACAAGTTCTAATTCTATATTTTTCTATCATCAAATCTATGGACTACATACTATAGAGAATATTCAAACTTAACAACATATCTCAACTCTACATCATTTATTAAATTATCTAAACTTCTAAAACTCTTCATTATGAATTCGCCTACAACAAATTCAAAATACAGCTGCCTCTAACTTATCAATACTTACTCAACACAACTACATTCTCCTAAAAAAACAAGCTGATACATCACTAGCTCTTATGCTACTACATCTTCAACAATTACAAATATCTTTTACTAATAATAACAACAACTGGCCTAAACCTCTAGAACAACAAAGCACAACAATTAATAACATCCTTTATTCACTAAAGAAACCACATCAAATCAAGACTAAATTAAACAAAATAGGTTTATACTTTATTGAACAACTCACAAATCACAACAATACAACTGTACTATCCTAGTTTCAACTACCATATAATTTACAAATAATCCTAAGAGGAAAGAAACTAAAATAGTATGAGATAATTACTAACAAAATAAAAATATTACTCTTCCTAAATAATAGTTATTTTTTTACACTGAACCTATATATATACAAAAACCAACATATCAACAAAGCAACATGAGCTATAAAGAAAAAACAGGATATATTCTTTATAGAGAAAATATCTTCACTAACAAATCAAACAGCAACTATTAACTATTGGTTCCTTAACACCACTACGAACAACTGTCACCATGTTAGAGATGCTACCAAAATGACTCCAAGCTTAATAAAGTAAAATGTATAATACAAGCCAACATCTAGCAACTAAACAAGTTAACAGTAGATAGTAAAAAATTTCATGCCAATGCAGAAGATATACTATATAACAATTCAATACCCAATGATAGATTAACAAGCAACAACAGAATAAGATATATACCAAAACAACAAAAAATTATAGAAATTATGATTGATAACAGAGAGATCACTAACTACATATAGAATATACACCAATCACTAAATATATACAAATCACTCACTATCCAATTTACTACAATACAATATACTATTAACTGCATACAAAGTAAAGTAATTGTATGCAAAATATATCTTCTAGAAAACCAACTACTAATCAAAATGTTAAATTGGCCTTCGACTACTAAAAATCTAATAACAGCACTCATATATATAGCCTTAATAGCTACACCAAAAACTAAACTTTAAATCAGTACTAACTGATTATATTTTCAACAATTAGCAGAAAAAGTCTTTTTACTATCTATAGCTAACTTTTTTCAAATCTATCAAATGAGCAACTAGCCAAACTAGAGTTAATATCCAGATTTATTTTTATATCTGAATATAATTGAAGTCAAAAATCCAATTCAGTTTAATCCAGATATAATTAAATCTGAATATATTTAAATAAATCTAGATATATAAATCCTGATATAATTGAGGTAAACCTAATCCAGTTAATTCGAATATAATTTATATTGATTATAAAATAAAGTGATAATAAAATCAGAAAATTATAAATTTACATATTATTTTGATCACAGGACTATGTATAATACTACATATAATTTTTATTAATTAAAATTGTATTATTTAAAAACAATCAACCAATCAACAATTAAAATTAATAAAAAATTAATAGATTTAATAAGCAGTTTCATAAGGATTTCATAAGGGTTTCATAAAGGTTTTATAAGCAATTCATGACTAAGAAGTGTAACCAATTAAATTCAATATATAATTATCATTATACTTTTATATTTTACATCTGGATATAAAATTAAATCTGAATATATTAGGGATATGAACCAACTCAGATCACATCTCTATAAATAATATCTGTGAATTTATAATTTCGAAAATCAGCAAAGTTAGTATATAAAAATTTATTTAAAAAAATTCAATAAATTTAGAGGTGATATATTTGATATAACAGTATTTGACTTTTTTAAAAAAAAAATCATAAAAATAAAATAAGATTAACTTTTTAAATTTAAAAAATATAAATTAATTGATAGCACTAATTGAAAGTTTAAGATTAATGTATTTAAAAATTGCAGTTGCAACTTCTACACTCATCAATTTTTGTGCTTCTTCTGTCAATCTGCCTAAAAAAAAAAAAAAATAATAACTGTTAATAATAAATGGTAATATACTTAATAAATTTTGCAGTATATACTTACTGATATGTAGTGTCAAGATTAGATTCTTGCATGTTCTTAGCCTATTGTTATCATACTCATTAATATCATCTGAAAGCATGTCAATTGCGACACCTAAATAAATTGATTTAAGTTAGAATTTAAATAACTATTAATTAAATTTGAGATAATAATAAAAAAAAACCTGACAAATACCCAATTCTCAACCCTTTTAAAATCACTGAAATTTGAACGATAGTACTCCAGGAAGTATTTATTAAATAGCTTCCTTTTTTCATTTTATAAATTTTTCTCTCACTAATTAAATTTTTGGTTTTATTAGTCTCAGGAACATGTATGGTAACAAAGTCTGATTGTTTCAAAAGCTTCTCTAAGTTATTAACTTACTTAGCAGTTCCTAAAGGCATGATTCGAAGTACATCATAAAAACATATAACTATCCTTATAGATTTAGCAAGAACAGATAATTGAGATTCAATATGACTATAACCAATAATTCCTAGAAACATTAGCATTAGTTTTTACTATAAATAATTGAAAATTTACACTAAAAATCTTAATATTTGAGCCAGAGTTGTTACATTGCAATATCTAATGGCTTCAATTTTTTTTTTGGACATATGCCTAAAAAAAAAATTGAAATATATTTGACATTATAACATACCAACCCTAGTTTGAGTAGTAAGAAATTTGTTAAACCAGGAGAATTTTTGTTTATATAATGTTCTAACACTTGTCTGAATAAATTTCCATACATGTAATTAATATTTAAGGTTATCAAGAGTTTTTCCACGAATTTTATAGCATTCTACTAGTACTTTATTTTGAATTCCTTAGTGTATCTTGATATTATAATTATCTATATATCTAGATAGCATAATTATTTCAGCAATTACTAGCTCAGCTACACTTCTACTATAGCCAAAGGAAGAATTGAATACAGTAATTTTCTGGCTAGTAGCAGTTTTTAAATCAATTTGACTAGTATTAGTGCAAAAACAACTAATCACAAGGAGTTTTTTCACTTTTAAGAGAATATTTTTGGTAAGTTTAGTTTTAGATTGAATCCCAACACAATGTATATCATGGATTTTTGCTATAAGAACATCTTCTGAAAGAGTTTCTGAATATGCTTCAACCTTTTTTTTAAATATAAATATTATTATACTGAGACTTAATTAATATGTACAGTATAAGTTATATTGTACTTACTTGATATCCTTCTAAAGTTAAAATATTAATTGCAGCTTGGTTTACATTATCTAACAACAAAACTTTAATATTATCAGTAATCATTAGTAAATTCATTTAGATAACAATCATGCTGGTTTATTTGCTGTTATATTTTGTAGTACAATCTTTATATACTTTAGAAAATTAGATAGCACAAATCTAACTGATGAATTACTACTTATCAAAAATTTTACTTATCTTCTAATAAAAGTAATATTGGAAAATTATTACTATTTCTTTTTAAGAATAGTATTTTTCTTACTAGACCTGGTGCAAGGTGAGTTCTTTTGCTGAAATATAGGCTCTAGTATCAGAAAACAAATATTTGGATAGGACCGATGTCAAAGGTATGGACAAATATTTTCAAGCAAGCTGATAAAGCAATGGAAAACTTGCTTGTTTTTCTTCTCATCATATTAAAGGGTTTTGGTGTTTATGTGCAATTTGCTCTCTTAAGTATCTTTCTAGTTTATCCTCAGTTGTTGTAAGTGAAGTAGTTGCCGAATACGAACTCCATAACTCAGCACTAAAAGAATCGCAATTCTCCTCTATAGTCCTTGATACACTTTCTGCATTACTATAATTTTGGCTAACTAGTTTTGCTTTTAATGCTAATAATTCTGCATGAACTTGTGCTTCGCTATTACTTCATTCTTCAGGAATAGCAAATAGAAGTAATTTTAAACTCTGTAGATCTAATAAACATGCCTTTAATCCAATTTCAGCAGGAATGTCCCATAATTCATCGAGAGACAAATAAATTACAGCACATATTTTTTCTAAAAGTCCATCACAGTTTGTGGGGAGTAAATACTTTACTGTATTTGAATCATCCAGTTTTTCTCTATTTTCATCACACTTCTTATATTTTATCACACGAGTTATGTTGTATTTATGACTATGACCTCAGTTATGCACACTTCTATGGGTATACTGCTATTGTTTTCTATTCCCAGATGATGGAATATTAGCTTTATCACTACTACTAATATCTGATTCGTTATCTGAACCTTCTGAATCACCATAAATTAGAGCTATCTAATCTTCTACGAATTCACTATTTATGGCTACTGGTGCATATCTATTTTTTAGTATACAAATATAAGGATATATGAGATTCATAGTAGAATATTTGGCGCTACAAAAATGTCTTATTATTTCTTCGAAAGGTTTTAACATCTTAACTATTTCTTCAAGTAATCTTAATATAAAAAATGTTATTAAACAAATAATAATGGGCTAGGTGCTAAGAGAAAGAGAATTCATCATTTTTTTTTTTTTTTTTTGCATTTTGTTTTATAGTAATTAAAGTTAATTTATAATAGAATAAATTTTTTTAATACAAAACAAAAAAGTAGTTATATAAATAATAAACTTTACTTTTCTCAGCACCTAATTCACAAAAAAAAATTTTAAAAATTAAATACTTTTTTTCATCAGAAGTCAAACACAGTTGATCGAGTTTTTCGGCTTTTTTTTTTGAAACAGAATCTAATTTACTTTGCAATGATGCAGCTAACATATGCATTGCTGGATACAACTCTAAAATTCTTTTCCAAGCCAAATAAGATGAATTCCAACGTATCTTACAGTCTGTTAATACTTCAAGAGGACTAATTGTTCTACTGTCTTGAGGTAAATTAGAATTTATAAGTATTTGTATTTTCTGTAATTATTAGGCTTGTTTTGGAAGGCAATAAAAGATTTGAATACTTTTAAGTCATCAATAGATAGGTTTAACTTGCTTTAATCCTTCTTTGACTGAAAGTTGAAGGGTGTGTATAATGCAAGGTTGTCAGTAAATATCTAGTAAATGATTATAGTTTAATAATTTTATTCTTTTTACTACGTTAGCTCCATTGTCAGTGGTTATTGTACATACTTTATCTTCCAAGTTCCATTCAGAAATGATATTAGAAAGCTCTTCACTAATACTTTCATCATTATGTAAGTGGGGCATATAATGATATATAAGTAATGTTTCATGAAATTTAAAATCAGAAGTAATACAAGTAGTGAAGACATCAAGGTAGCTATGCTTGCTCTTTGAGGTCCACAGATCTGTTGTCAAATGAACAATAGTAGCTGTATTGGCTAATAATTCTTTAAGTTGATTTATCCCCTCATTATAAGCTTCTAAAATGTATTCCTTAACTGTTTCTGCATAAGGTATCTGATAATGAGATTGAAATGCTAAAAGTATTCAGTGAAAAGATAAACATTTTAATATATATAAAGGTTGGATATCACATACAATAAACTCTACAACATATTTTGTAAATTCTTTTTGTCGTTTAGGTGAAAGTGTATTTATATAATTTGTGATTTGATTAACTTTTACTTTTGGCTATAAAATAATTTAATTCATTTTAAGTAATTTAATAAAGCTTAAATAGATTACATTAAGTTTAAATATTTTACTTGTTTTTCAGAATTAAGAAAATCTTTATAATTTCTTGTAGTAATTTGATATTTATTATGAAGATGCTGCGTTAAATACTCTGTACTACTACCTGACTTAGAATATAGATAAGGGCTAGTTTAGGTTCTTTCGTATTCTTTAATACAAATCTTATAATATCTAATTTTATCATCTGCTTCATTAGCTTTAAAAAAAAAATATATATAGCTAGCATTGATTCTTGTTTTTTTTTATTGTGTCAAAAGTCTAAGATGTAGTTATTAGTATTCCATTACTGAAGGCTTTTCTTTTTTTTTGGTTACTTCTGAAAGATCCTTCAAATTTATAAAGTTCATAGGAAGTAGAAGTCAAACTAGAGGTTTCATGTGGTGTTTGAGGTATGTATTCTTCCTCTTCTTCTATTAATGAGGGTGAGAGTGACCATTCTTGAGAAGATATTATTATTATATTTCTTTTAATCATCAAAGATTTAAGTGTATTTTTTATTTATTTATTTTTGTAATGGTACTACATAAATAATAACAATTAAAGATTTATTCTTTGTCATTATCTTTAGAGCAGTGCTATTTATACCTCTCACTTTTAATATTCTTACCTCTCTCCTATAAAGTACAATGATAACGATAACATTTAACATATAATGTTCAATTAAAATTTGTCTTTGCTCAAGTTCACATATCAATATTATTAGGTGTTACATAACTTTCATGTGACAAATAGCTAAAATAATTTTTAGGAAGGTATGAATAGCAAAAATGTAGGGTATAAATAGTAATTTCCTATCTTTATTGTTATCAGTATAAAAATTTTCACCTTATTTTATCACTATTATTATCAGTAAAAAATTAACATATCATACGTAGTATAGCAATATTAAATATGCATATCAAGAAGTTAAATCAACATACCGATACATACTGTATACAATCAGAATTAAATCAGAATTTATAGTTAAATTCAGATTTTAATTTACATCAAAATTTTAACTTTAATCCAGATTTTAATATATATCTGGATTTTAAAATATATCCAGATTTTAGCTTTATCCAGATTTATATTACTCAAAAAATTAATTCGGATTTATTTAAAAATCAGATTGATCTGGATTTATTTTTAAATTCAGTTTGATGTGTTAACTCTAGGTAAGATTTTATAATTTAGATATATATTTGTATCTAGCAAAAAATATAAATATAGATATAAATATAAAAACTTAAATATCAAGTAAACTTTATCTTAAAGTTACTAAATTCTAAAATTACTTACTCAAAAATTGATTTTAACACTTTTTTTTAACTCTTTTAAACTTTAATTCTAATTTGATAATAATAGCTAATTTAATAGATTTTATTAGCATTATATAGTTTACAAACTTTAATAATATAAGAGCACTTAATATTTATCTTTATTAACTCAAATTCTATTTAGTTAGCAATACCTAAGACTAAACTAGAGATAGTACTTGTATAAGAGTTACTTAGGTAACTTGTATAAGATCTGTTAACTAGATCAATCTACTGCTACTCAGATGATTTAGATTAATTAATAAAATATTTATCAAATTAGCTAGTTAATTCAATTATATAAAGAAATAGTTAACCAATTTTAACAAACTTAGCTTTAAAAAGCATTGTATAAATTAATTATTTTATAGATATAATAATTATTAGATCATTTCTTCATGTATTGCTAAGCTAAGTTAATATAGTATTTAGGAGTTCTAGAAGCAAATTCTAGATATAATCTATGATTAATCTCAATTGCAAGTTTGATATTAGAATCATATCTGTTAAAGGCCTTTGGTTGACATTTTAGCTATTATAATACTAAAGCTATAAATATCAACTATTTGTATAAATTTATATAACTTCTAAAGAAACATAGAATATGATACCATAAATATTGCCTTCTGAAACATTTTCATTTCTTTCTAGATAATTCTAGATTTGCAATATAAGATTGGTTAGCTTTGTATAATCATGAATATCAGATAACATATGAAATATCTTTAAGTATTTTCAGTTTAGCTTTTCAAGTAAGTCTCTAAATTTTTCTTAAATATTTCTAAAAAGTTCCATTAACAGTATACTGAAACTCCTCAATTATTCATTTGTTCTTATATTTTAAGTAATTCCATATATTGTGAGCTTGCTATGAATATCATATAATTGATAAATTCCTTTAAAATATTAAATCTATTTTTCTTGGAATTGTTTAGGGTCTTGAGTGTAACAATATTGAATTTTTCATGTATTCTTGTATAATTATTTTTGTCATTATCAATTTTTTTAAATAAACAGAACCAAATTCTCCTTTGCAAATTTCTATAATATTAGATAATCTATCTAATAGAATCTATTCAATTGCATGCTCATATTTAAAAGTTCTAAGTTAAAATTCTCTGTAAACTTGAAACTATCATAGATTTAAATCTATTTTTAAAATTTTACAAATCTAGCTAATACAAAAATCATGAATACAAAATCTTTATTAGACAAAAAATATATTTGCTATTCATAATCTTATTTATAAATAACCAGATCAACTAGATTACTTAGATTATTTGACATACCTAGTTTGTGACCTAGTAATGATATTTTAAACAAGTAGAGCTTAAATTTTGAACTGAATACAATCTCTAAACTAAACTTTCTATTAAAGTAACTCATAAATATCTAGTGACTATAATTAATTTTGTAAAGACTGAATATTGTTACAAGATATTTTTGTAGGCAAGATTTTTTTTCATTCTTGCTATTAATTTAAAAAACAAATAAATTAATTGATATTAACTTTGGTAATATTTTTTTTTTTTTTTTTTTTTTTTTTTTTTTTACTTTATACAAATGCTATCAGCTGAAACTTTATTAGTTATTTGATAG